ATATGGCCATATATAAATCCATTTTTTCCAAACGGGTGTAGGTACCTAATTTTGGGTGAAATATATTATCAAAATATATACTATCGAGTATTTTATGGTGTTTATAATAAACACAAGCAGTATACTAGGAAGAATGACGGTTAAAAAAAAATGATGCGAAAATCAACAACAACAACATCAGTGTAAATAACACACAGAAACGGTATATTTTCTAAGAGTGTAAATGTAAGATTTAGAGAGGAGGAATGGCCAAGTGTAGTGTTATTTCTCCCTCGACCGCACTTCCCCTCCTACCCCCTGACTATTGAGCTTTTACAGTTCTAAGAGTTTGTATTTAAAACCGTACCTGATACTATATTATTCAAGTATTGTCGCCTATTATTAGCAAAATCTATGGCCACACACTTTGTTGTCAACCAGTCAACATATATTTTTGCAGTAAATTATTCTTGGCTTGACAGGTACAATTTAGTTTAGGGCTAACCATGATTAACCTTCAGAATATGAATAAGATAATAGTGATTATTTTCTCCCTATTATACTATAACATATGTATACCAAAATTGTACGCCAATAGCCCTGCAGTCGAGGCTTTTGAATAAAAAAAAAAAAATAGTAATTATATGTAAACTTAATAATGATTTCTTTCTTTCTTTAAATTTTATCCATTCCATTTTATCCATTTTACCCACTTCGTTAAGTGATGAAAAATGGATACCTCCGTTGAGGGTGGAAGTTATTTTTGTGTTTTTTAGCTGTAATTTTAGCACCACTTAATTGAAAATTTGTCAGGCGGTCGGACTCTCATGTATCCATGATACAGTTTTGGTGGAGTTGTAAGTTTTATGCTGAAATAATATTACATTGTTCAGAACCGAAACGATGACACGATAGCCATCATATTGTATAAGTTAGATAGTTTCTAACTATTTGAATTATTAACAGTTGTATGTGAGGCGAATAGGAAAAAGATACCTCCTCGCTGGTCGCAAAAATCAAATATTGAGTTATTGCTTTTTCCAAATCTCGCACTAAATTCTGTCCAGAAACGTTTTACTATCTTGAAAATTGACAGAGGTATTTTTTTTTGTGTTTTTATACGTTTGAACAAACGATTTCACAACAAGCTAAAATTCTTATTTTTGTGTTGAATATTTTTTTATGCGTTTATAAAGGACTCCCAAAGCGATTACAATCATAAAACCTCAAACATAATTTTGGAGTTTAAAATTATTTAAAAATAGCTATAAAAATATGTCATTTTACCCCTTAGCTAAATAGCCACATGTAAGGCTCTTATATGTGTTTACCCAATAATTAAAATATGTATTCGACTAGAATTTTGAGTTAGATTTATATTTCTATTGTTTACAAAGCCAACTATACGGTTTCCTACATAAAATACGGTATTTTTTCGCAATGTAAACAAAATATTATGACAAATAACTGCGGGCATCATAAATCTTTAAGTTTTAACATTTATATAAGAACTGTCGTGTACACAGTACGCGGAAACAACTTTTATAGATTTAATACTGTTGTTTTAACGTATATTATGACATAAATAAGATAATAAGAAAATTTGAATAATTGAACAAGATAATATAAAAAAAAAGGGGATTACCTACAATACAAGATATCCCCAATAGGGTTCTAATTTGGATTCGAATATACGGGTTCGAATAGTTATTTTTAAGGATTTTATTATTCGAATAGTTGTAAAATAATACAAATTTCGGATTAAATTGTAATTTCAACTTTTATCGATGTACTGGAGTATTAAAGGAGCGGTGTAAAAAATGAAAAGTTTACTCCTTTATTTTTAGAATAGAGAAAAACCGTACAAGATTTTAATCTTCAACTTCTCCTAGCTCTAATTTCGAGAAAAATGGTCTGATCGAATTAAACTTCATTGGAAAGAACAGGCATTGTCGATCAAAACTGTTACCACTAAAATATATTACCTAATTTTATTTTTCCTAATTTAAAACATATTTGTGTATAAATTTATTGTTAATTTGTATTCAGTATTACTATTATTTATTATAACACCCAGAGTTCTTTATTTCATATTTTTCTTTCTTTTATTTTTCCATGTGCAGTACAGGAAATAAATACTAAAAGAACATCTGCCGTGACCCTATTACAATAGCTAGGATACTTTAGAAACAGTAAACCAATTGTTTAAACATCTATATGGCCTATATTATATTATAAAAAAACCCGACCAAAAACCACTGAATATTTTACCTTAAAACGTTTACACCTTCTGAACTAAGCGCTAAGGTTATATGGAAAAAAAAAACAATATTCTGCTCCCAAGTCCTTAAATGTATATATATATACATATATATATAAAATATTATTGTACATATATCTATGTATATTATAATATTTATAATCATAAAAAAGCCGTGACAGGAAGGTCGGACCCAAGAGGAAAAATTTGGAGTAAAATTGCAGTTAAAAATCTTAGTTTGTTTAAATGATCACAGTTGTTTGATTATTTATATTATAACGCATTGAGTGTTTATTAATTCACGCTAATTTTCTGGTAGAAATGAATTCATCATATTATCACCGTCATATATTTAAATTATAAAATGTGATACTACAATAATATATTTATAAGAAATCACTCAGGAAAACCAAACAAATCTCGTTAAAGGTCGGTCTAGATCGTGTACGGTTAGTAATTATGTTAGAAGAGATGGTGTACTAATTGCAGTTAAAAGACAATTAAAATCAGTCAGGATTATCCTAATTATTTTAGAAAATGATGACTTATTACAGCCTCTGATTGTTTAACATTGTTCAAGCTATATTAACGACCGCACACACAAAAGCAAAAACACAAATGTTGAATAAATTTATTTTTTACACTAGAAAATTATAAAAAAAAAAAACATTGTTTAATAGTAAACTATTTTATTATTTATTCAACTTTTAATTTTTACTCCGTGTTAAAACTATATTTACATTAAGCCTGATGCTTCTATTCGACAATTATTGCCTCAACTCTCAATTTCACTAAACGCCCCCCACCCCCAATTTCCCATCACTACCTTGTTTTTTTTATTCAGTAATGCTTTCTTTATTTCCTCACAGCTAGACTAATTTAAATTCTTTCATAAAAAAAAAAGTTGAAATATATTACCAAAGAGAGTAAACAATTTTGAAGAAATTCAAATGTAATTTTCTATGAAATAATACATAGTGGAAAACGATAGCACATAACTTCTATGATCATTATTATTATTCCATTTTGTTTTTTCTTAATATCTCATCGCGTTATAGACCTCAAATATTTAATTGTAAATAAAAATACAATTACAAATACCATAAATATAATTTAGAAAAATTAAAATAGTCATTTTATGCGAGACGAAGAAATAAAATTCAAATGTTGCTAGTTTTTGGCCACACTACCATACTCTATAGTACATTTCTTAAATACAATATTAGGAAAAACAATAACTACTAATTATTTTTATTTGTCAAACCGACTTTTAAGGGTTTTTTTACTTTTTGTAATCAGGTGATTGTACATTTGTACACATCTGTTGTCCTTAGTTATATTTTACTGCTTACCATTGACAACTTATAACATTGACTTGTTATTATATAGTTTATTAAATCATAAGCTGACAATATTCTTGAATCAGATAGGCACTATTGTAGGATTTATACTCACAGGTGACTCAATGTGTTTTCTTTTTCAACTGCGTTAGGTATCTCATTCGATTATTCATAAAAGAAAATATTATACTAAATTTCTAATAAATCCCGTGTACGAGTATATTTCTTAAATAAATGTTATGGCTTGAAAAATCCTACATGTACTAACTACCACTAGTTTAATACTGGTCTACATAATATGAAATTAATAAATACTAATAATTCATATTATTATTATTAGTCATTTAAATTATATTTATTAAAAATAAAATAACTTTTATTCCCGAAAATTCCCAATTTTCGTGAAAAACATATAACAGTTAACATTTTACAATTTGATAAAATATTGTCAGTTTTATACAACCATAATATTATATTTTATAATTATTTTGTATAATATCATAATAAACATTGTCGTTAAACTATCACTTCTCCTGTCCACTATTCTAATATTATAAATGTATTAACTTCCATTACTAATCTTCTTGACTTGTTTTAGTATTTCAATTTGAGCTTGGTGAGATTCATAGTCATAACATCTTAAACTATAGTTTTTAGTGTAATTAATCTTTATACTTTTTAACTGTAACTACACACAAGGCGTTCGCATAGTACGTTGAAAATAATAATAAATTATCGGTAAGTAAAAAGTAGTTTAATTGAAGAATGCTTGATGTAGGTATCACAATAATTTTTATTTTTCAATTTTTAGAAATTTGTTTATAATTATAAATTACAAGTTCTGTACAATGTTCTGCCATTATTATTTAGCAAGCTGTATTGATTACTTTTAAGCAATAACACCGTTTTTTTTAAATTAAAGGGGCTAACAGAAAACAAAATTGTATTAAATACTCTTTTAATTGTTAAATAACACATTTTATTGCTAACATTTCGATTTTTTTTTTTTTTGCAATATGCTTATAATTTTTTTGTACTCTTAATTTTAGTAATTAAAGCCATAGGTTACTTTTTCCTTATATTTGTATAATGTTTTCCACGTTATAAGTTAATATAAGCATGTTATTATCGAACAATCTATACAAGGTATACCTCACACGAAACTATGTTGTTTTTGGTGTTTGCATAAGTTGTATAATATATTATATAACATGCTATTAACTGCTATAGTAAGTAAAAACCGTTTTATTGGGGGGGGGGGGGGGGTTCTATACCTACGCACATTGTACCATAAATGTTTGATAATATAGATTTATATACTAGCACAGGATTTCGAGCAGAAACCATAGTTGTTAACCACAATAATTATTGTAAATTAAGAATTATTAATAAAAACATTCCAGTGTTTTGTAGGTGTATGATAATAATTTATTGAAAAACCCGTTACATGATTAAAATACACAAGTAATAAAATAATATTATAATTTTATTCTACTGAATCTTTAACTAAATCTCCTTCGTAGTATTGACTTGGGTATTGGTAACCATTCTGATGGCCGTATGCTTCATGAGCGCCGTATTGAGAGACGCTATTGTCGTTATAGATTGAAGCTTTTATCCTGTCTTCTTCGGTATAGTCATAATCACGATTATACCCTGGCGTGGCCTGTGCAAATATAATAAATAAAACAATTATTCGAAATATTTAGACGTCCAAAGAAATTTAGGTACTGTTGTCCAACTAGTCCCGTGACACTCGAAGTGATTCAAATTGAGGGGTAACTATTATTTTGTCAATAGGATATTTTGGCCAAAATCACTGACATTTGGCACAACTTTACCGTTATCGTTTGATAGTGTTATCAATATTTAGTATAACCAATATTCGGTACAGAACCAAGTATCTTATAACCAGGTCTGGGAACTCCGCAATGTTTTGCACACCGGTGGCCACCATATTGGTAAAAAAACGACTACTCTTTTCAGTGTAGGGAGCTGTTACCAGGTGTGGTTATAAAATATTATATTAGTACAGAATGACCGTTGAAAAAACATGAATATCGACGTGTTATATTTATTCTTAAATCATATATTATTATTCGAATATTTTTAGGAAAATCGACAAGTAGTATACGTACAATGTCTACTGGCAGGTCGCCATAGCATTGAGCAGCTTTCGTCTAATTTGTAAACAAAACAAAATTTAATTAGTTTGTATTTTCATGCAGATACAATATGATTGTTGGAAACCATCTCATGTTTGCAGCTTTAGGCCTTCAATGCCCATTAAGTTACATGATGATGATACAACGTTTATTTTACATGTAATTAACGATAAGTTCTAAAATAAGTAGGTAAAACACAACGTGGCAAAACATGATGTGTTTAGGTGGTTTCATTATCAAACTATAATTTCTAATATAGAAGTTACTATTTGAAAAGTAATTTTTCTGATTTTTTCAAAAAAAAAAACTTTGATTTGATATCTAGAGATGTTATGGAATTCATAAAAAAATAAATGTTTGTATTATATTTAAATTTCCGGTGTCATTAGGAGTACATTAACGGTACTTAACGGTACTAATTAAACAATTTTTAGAATTTTATTATCAATTACAAAACAATATATTTCCAAGAAAACTTAAGAAATTTTGGTTTTTTGATTTTACAACAATCCTATTTTTGGTCTACATTTAATAAAAATTAAGAAAACTGCAAGTCACTGAGATAAAATTTTATTTGATTTGAGGTTATGAGCTGATGTTAACTTGAATCATCACAAATTATACTAAACAAGAGTTAAATTTTTAATCATAAACAATTTTATTTGTTGTAAGACATAAAACCATTTTTGGTTAAGATTTTCATCAACGACTGAATAAGGCGATTTTCATATTTTTATTTTTATTGAATGTTTCTATTATTTTTATTAAAACGTGTTAATTTGAATTCAACTTTACCTCGGCTGGTTTATCAGGACCGCAATTTATACTGCAAATCAATGCCTGTAAAAAACAATTTCAAGGAAAATAAATTTTAAATGAAAATATTTTTTTTTGCAAAGTCATTAAGTTTTATACTTACAGATAATACCAATAGTATCGTCAAAAACATGTTGAATAAACTGGTCGACATAATAGAATACTATGTATGAACTGGGATTTCTAGTTGTTTAAAACTCAAATACTTACCGTTTCTAAAGAAAAATACTTCTCTATGCATTTTGTGATCAACTCGGTTCCTTTTATATCCAAAAACTCAAATGGGCACGAGGTTAAATGCAACCAAAACAAGTCTCTATGTTTGTCGGGTCATACATAAATGTGATTAATCATTTTTCACAAAAACAAATATTTTTGTTTTGATTTTCCTAGTTTTTTTTATATGTTTGCACAAAAAGAGTACCTACATTTCAACAAACCGAGATATCATTGGACGTTGTTGTTTCACACAATATTGTGACCTATTTTTTCAAGATTATTTACGCCCAAATAAATCTCTTTTTTCCAACTTGTACAGGTACTATTGGGCGAATAAATTTATCAAATATTATTCAGTGCGTTATGGCGTTTATAACAAATACACACAGTAGGATAAGAACGGCGGATTGAAAAATATAATACAAAAAAACAACAACAACATCAGTGTAAATAATACACAAAAACAGTATATTTTCTAGGTCTCGACCGCACTTCTCTCCCCGTCCAGAAAAAAAAAGTGTGCTTATTTATCTTCAGTCTAATTTTCAGACCTTAAGTCCTGAAAAAGTATCCACCTCTCTTAGGGGAAAGGGTTTATGATCATCTTTGGTTTGTCAACTTTTATCGGTAGTACTATGTTTCAAAAAAAAATTCCAAACAAACATGGAGCAAATATGACTATTTTTAAAAGGGTTTTAGTGCACCGTAATTTTAAGTATAAAAATATATCATTTTTTTGGGGCGTCTTTTTCGGTTTTCAAGGGAAATAAAAAGGCGCCATTTTTTGTATTTTTGGTCCGAATAAATACAATGAAAAAATGGAGATGTCAATACAATTTTTTTTTTAAATTAAATATAGTTTAATACTACACTGACTTATTTTTATTTGTTTTATTTTCCTCTAAATAGAAATTGTTTTAAAAAAGTTAATTATATTATAATTTGGGCGGGAAATCCGCTGGTGGGCTCAAATGTGTGATAAAATTAATAGATAAAGCTACAATCGAATAATTGTGTGATTTTTTTCTTCAATAAAAAGAAGTTTGTCTACAGATTCTAAAGAAAATTGCTGTACACTTGTTGAATGGGAAGATGTGAACTTTTTTCTTTATTTCTCTATTTCGAACGAAATTCGAGCACTAAAGATTTTGTATAAAGATTAATGGATCCCATACAAAATCCGTTTTAAATGTGTTTTTGTATTAAGCTTCTTTTTTTTTTATTTACTCTTAAAGTGTGTCGATTATTAGATAGTAGACAATTTCTTCAAGGCCCGTAAGTATGACCTAAAACTTTTAACTTAAAAACAATTTTCCATATGAAAACAGTGTTCTACAATATTTATTCTACAACGTTATGTGTGTCAACCGACTGAATAAACTATAACCAATTTTATTTTGTTCGATTTCACTGATAATTCTTAATATCACTATTATTGCATAATATATTGCATAATATATTGCAATAGGTAGTGTTTTTTTCAAAAGCAATAAATCCCAAATGCTTTTATTTGGTTAACAACTACTGTTTTACAGGCGACGAATACTCTAGGTCATATATTACACTAGTTAATTTCCTAGTTGTATTACAGTAATATTTTTTTAGGTTTTTGGATTTTTGTTATGACAAAAAAAACTTACGTCGACCAAAGTTTGAATTCATCCCTTCCCATTTCCCCCTATCTTGTACACCAGTTAAAAACAATATATGAATATATTATATTATATATATATATATATAATGTGCTTGTCCAATGCATAAACTAAATGGCAACACCCAAATAAAAAAGCTAATACACATCATTTAAAAAATATCAATACATTTTAACAATGTAAATGTCACATTAGATAGAAGCGGCTTTCTCTAATAATATTTCCAGTTATGTGAAAAACATCATAACTATTGATATTATTACATGAAGTTAAAGCCCTGTTTATGAGGAAGGGGGTAGGATAATTATAGTGTAAGAGTGTCTTCTAACAATGTACAGATAGGTAGACTTATTGACAGAAACAGCTATGTAAATTAGGTTACCTAAGAAGAAAATAAATATAATCAAAGTACAGATATTTTTTTTGTATGCCTTTTGGAGTTGGTTTGTGCATCTCAAACGAATTGGGGTTGAAGTTTGAATTATAGTAAGTGGTACTTTTATGGGTCAGCCGTAATATATTGTGTAAGCTAATAACAAAATAAACTACTTAAAGTTTGTAAAAAAAAAAAACACAAATAATATCTTCCTTGCAACGATAAAAAACACCTTAAAAAATACAATAATGTTTGCATTCGCATTTACTGTTTACTTATTCACTTGTTGTTTGTACTTGTACTTGAACCATGAAAATATACATACCTCTACCAGGTTTTTTTACAATATTATAAAATTTCCAAATGCCCGTGTCAAAACTTAATGATATATATAGTTTAAAATGTAGGTCACATAAAAGTTATAACACTCTAATAAATATCACAAAAAAATACAACAACATTGTAATATTAGGGTTTAGTATACTGGCCAAGTATTAAATTTAGTAAATCACATAGATGATGAATATGAGAAATTGGTATTACTGGTGTTGCATACATAGACCTCAGTGTGTTTTGGTGTTGAATAAAATTCGTGCCCATAAAAGATATAATTTCGACAAAATTATAAGTATTATGTCTTAGCCCATTAAGTATGCACTAATAATTACCCAATCAAGTTCTGACTGAAGTGTATAGCAATCAAGAAGTTATTGTAAAGTATAATTTTAAGTCGTCTCCAAAAAAGTGGAAAATACAATTTACAAAAAACGATAAAAGGTATCAATGACAACTAAAAATGTTGAAAATTACCTTGTAAACTTATTATAGTATCTATCGTGGAGATAGGAACTGATCCGAGACAATGGAGGATCAGTCTTAAAAAATAGGAGAGACATAGATAATTTTACAACACTCAACTTAAAGGACTGATTAAATATTTAAAAAGCAGAAACAGACAAAGAATACTTTTTAAGGAAAGGAGGAAGATATTTCGGTACTATTTTTTATCTTTGGGTCCAATTTTTGGACCCATTTGAAATCAAGGTAACAATACATTTTTAGTTTGGTTTTTTTTTTGCCAAATTACCCCAAAAAACGTTGTCTACAATATCATCGATATCATTGAAAAAAAGTCTAAAGTAGACATTTTTAAAGAAATGTCAAACCTAATAAAATCAACAGTACAATTTTGTTTTGTTTATTTCCTTATTTACCAGCGACCTGTAATTTTCAAAGGCCGCGCATATGTTGTTTTGATCATTTTTTTTGTCAAAACAACTATCTTCGCTTTTCAATAGTAAACAATACATAAAACAAACAAATAGTGTACTAGCTATATTTTGCAATAATACAATATAATCCAGATACGAATAATAAAAAACAAAACCGAATCCATAGTTGCCCAAACAGGCACTATTACAACTGTCCATTGTATTTCCCGAGTAAATCCAAACTCGCCAAAAGCAGCACAGAACTATACAAAAACTATTGATGTTAATGATATTTTATAATATTGGTGGGTGTCCTTGTTTCATACAAAATTTTAGAAAGAATAAATATAATTTCAACTGTTTCGGATTCGTGGGGGGGGGGGGGGAATTCTAGTCTTAAACTAAAATTGTCTGCCAAGATTGCACTTAGATATGACCGCCCACTAAAGATGAAATCGAATAGCTTAAAATTTAGTCTAGTGGCAGTCAGTAAATTTGTCAGTATTTTTTTTCTGACCAAATTCAACCAACTGCCGTTAATTAAATGTGAGAGGTGGAATATATATGTTAATAATAATAATTAAAATTTAAATTAATAGAAATTGTCGAATAAACAGTGGAAAAAATCCAGATTAGAGAATATTGACAAATGACAATGCCAAATAAAAATTATATAAAACAACATATTTTCGGTTAAAATGTAAATTTAAAGGTTTTCTATATTATTCATTTTTTTAATTGGAAATTTTAAAAATCTTATAATACGGATTTGTCGACACTTGCAGAATCGAAAACAACAAAAATAACTATAAACCATAGACAACAATAATAATTATTGTTAAAATTTTCTTTTGTCACAATACTATTCATAAGTTTTATTTGAAAGACATAACATATTTATACAGAAAAAGATTATTATTGCTATCAAAATGAGACAGTCATTTCCTCCGCTTCACGGAAAAACATTGAATCATGGATATGTTATTTCTAATCTCTTATCTTCAGGTGTGGTTTTGTGTGACCAAATAGGCATCGCCAAATTTCATGTTGCCAGCCCAATAACATAATATTTCATATGTTAATTTATTTTTATTTCTTGAAAATAAAATAAAACATAATATTAACCACACGAGAAAAAACCCTTAAACCGACACAGTTTTCAAACATTTAATGGACTACTTAAAACGTTTTGGTGGCAGCTGTGCAGCACCTTAGTGCGTTGTCTAGTACACTATTAATGTGTCAGTACTAATAATATTGTGTTAACATTACTAGACGGGACGACTCATATAGTTTCCGGAATTGTTACACACCGTTTCGGACGGAAACATTAAAGAAACGACTTATCTAAAGCGGATATCGTTAATTTTTATTCCTGTAACTAATAACAACATCAATATACTTCAAAGCTGATGCGACCAGTTGCGACAGAACACGATAAAACATTTTTTTAAAAAGGCTGGTATAAAAGTTCTTAGAAAAAAAATAATACATTAAAACAGTACCCAATTTAAAAATACTCGAAAATAAAAGTTTTAACGCTACAACATAAAAAAACATGTATTTATACTATTCTATTGTTCGTCGTCGATAAAATTCACTAAAACTTGAGTAACAAAAGTGAAATTGATTTTGGAATAACATTATGTAAACTAAAAAGTCTACACCTACCCTGTTCTTTATTTCCATTACATAATTTAACTTTTCGTAAAGCCTGAAATGTAAATACATTGGGTCGCAGCTTGCTTTCGTAGAACAAATCGCTGCAACTTGAAAATGGAATAACGCTGTACAATATAATATACCACTGAAAATAGGATCACTTTACTGCAGAACTATAAATGTACAATGTCGGTCAAGATCGGTCACACTACCGGAATACCTTTTGCACAATTATTGTTGAGTGTTGACTCATCTGACGCGTTATGCCAAAGACGGTCGTCCGTACTTACAGACATGAGACACCTCAAGTGATGAGTAAATCTTTAACAATGTATCTCGTGTTCATTATGTTATACTATACAATAAGTGTATAGATTGTACTTGCAGTTATGGACAATATTTTGGTTAGTCATCCAATGCCATACCTACTCCGTCAATAATAATTGTTGTAGTATATTTTGGCCATCAAATTTTACCTCGGTTCGATTGGCAAGTAACACGGGTTGCCTTATACACCTAGAATATAAGCTATTTCAAAAAAAAAAAACGATCAGTTCCAATAACAAACGAGTTAGACACTTGTATTCTCAAGTACTTATGCAATAGTTGACACCCAATGGAAAAAAAAGCATGTTAATGAACCGTCGTGTCACTCAATGATTCACATTACCGTTCGGTGAACCCAATGGGCAAGGAAACTAATGTATTCCTATTACTACTACTACTAAAACTGCATATATGTAGTAATAGGTACATCCGTATTTCATTATTACTTTCTATTATCAGACACACACAATGTAGAGAGATCTACAAGACGTCAAAACCCCTGTCGTTGTAACTTACCTCCAAAACATTGCCAAAAACATATTAAAAAAAAATAATTCGATTTTTTCTAATTATATCACTGACCGTGGAGGAATCCAGTTGTCCCGTCATATCTCGTGTACTCGTCTTGCACTCTGCATGTTCCCGTGTGGATGTTCGAGAAAAAAATCATTCCAAGGAACCGTAATTTCCTCATGACGTTTCACGTCCAAACCGATGAAAACAATAAATGTGTTTACCAAAAAAACTGGAAATTGTTATTGCTCTGCCATTGTCGTCATTGAATCTCCGTCTATTTGGTTAGTCATCTCGACACGGTGGAAGTGGAAGAGGAGGTGGTGGTTTGGCGGACGAATGTCTAGATCCGGCACCGGCAGATCAACCTGCTGGTATTCCCCGACGTTAAAAACAAAATAACTATATTAATTAAAATTTAAAAAAAATACATAAACATATATATACAGAGTGTACCAAAAACAAATATCGCATTTTACTATCACATAGATTAGATCCAAACGGTGCACTCTGGCATTACGGTACTGATATACGTGTGACGAGCAATGGAATTATCGTAGAAAACAAATTGAAAATAATATTAATTATTAGCATTGTGTAGTAGTAATAGTGGTAAAGTCAAATACCAGACAGTAAAGACAGAACTTGGTACAGACAGCACTTGATTTACACTCTACTGGTTTAAACTGTACTGATTAAGGCTGTACTTGGTGTTTTCTTTTCAAAATAGTAAATAGGACATGTATTTAAATTTGTTTTAAAATTCCGAAACTTATGTACGTTGTCCATAACACATGTTTTTTGATTAGACTGTATTAGCAAAATGTTTATGCCATTCGTTTGTCTGTAAACAAAGTTTATACTTTATAAAAGTGATTGCCAGTCCTCCTACGTTGTTGCATAAGCTATAACTATACATTATGGAAACCGGATTCTCATTAGTCATAGCGCCGATGGTTCCACTTATACAGACAGATGTGTACAAGTAAACTGTAAAGGGTGATTCATGGAGTGCACGTTTCATTTGGAGTAACTAGATTTAGATAATACTTACTATGAAAACAAATTTCGAGGACAAGAATTCCTTAACGCGTTGTAGATAGTAGAAACTATTTTCTTTTTTTTAATTAATTGAACAAACTTTCGAAGAATATAATATTATAAATTACATTCATAATACTAGTATTATATTGCAGGTCGAGTTCAAGAAATAAACTAGTTTGATAAGAAGTAGATAATTGTGTTTGGCCTTTTTCTAGTTGATTAATTTGTGTATAATATTGTCTAGGTATAAAATATATGACATAATTCATAAATATCAGTGACCAAAAAGGTGTAGATCTACTTTGGCCGTCATAGGCATAGCTGTCCTCAAGGCTTGTGCAACAGGTGGGACAGTGTAAACCGGGGAAATAACTTGTACGAATAATTATAATAATATCACACGAGCAAGAGTGTAATTACCCGTTTGTATATTTTTGTTATTACTATATTATATACTATTATTACAATGTATACACTTAGGTACGGGTATTATAATATATTGTGTATATTATCATAAATTATTATACAATAAAAATAATTATATTATACAGGGTGATCACTTAAGATTCGTGACACGCGTTTGCTCTTAAAAATAATAATGGCAACACATTTAAACACTATAGGTTAAACGGTAACGTATACACTATTTATCGAACCGTTTTAAAATAACAATGATCTAGTAAAATTGTTGACCCAATCCCATAATCAGTTTTGGATGTTTATACTTTTAAAATTATTGATAAAGTTTCATACTTAGGACGGCAGGAAGTAGGGGGGAAAGAAAAACTACAAAATTGCAATTTTTCAAGAGAAAATCAGCGACTTATCCTTAATAAATAATCCTGTATACCAGACTTGTGTACAATAAAAACAAATGTTTTTTTTATTTCTTACATTTATAATTGAGTTTTGGTTTTATCTGTTTCAATGCAATGTAACTTGGAGTGCATTGTTGCAGCTGTAAAAATAATTTATGCCCAATTGTAAAACTGTTGATCAGTTGTCAAGTTGGATTTTTTCAAATGAAAAACCAAAATTTCCCATGTAACGTGTCATATTGTATAAGACCGATTTTTCGTCCTCGATTTTAAACTTTGGTAATTCTTAAAGCGATCATCTTAAACAGCTAATTACCAGCCGAAGTTTTCAGCAAATTATTCTAAATGTGAAAAATGTATTGATTACATACGTATTTTCCATTTTTAGCGCTAAAAGGTGATAGGGAAACCCACAAACGAACGGAGAAGATTACATAATAATGAACTTTAAATCCAGTATCAAAGGCCAGCCGCAAAGAGTTAAAGTGGTCGCTAAAAAAATACTGATGTGGGCATATTATATTATCATATGTATATAATTTAACATTGATTCGTTTTTTTAGTTTATTTATAGTTAAAGGTAACTATTTTTTTTTTTTTAATTAATCGAATAAACTCATAACATACATTCACACCACAGTATTGTATTGCAATAATTTGATTGTAATAAACAACTAGTTTAAAAAGAAGTAAAATAACAAGAAGTAGATTAGAATAATAATTATGTTTTACCTTTTTCTGGACGATTAATTATTTTCGTATAAATATGACATAAAATATATAACAATTAAAATTGTTATCTTTCAAAAATGGCCTTGAAGGGTATGACGTCCTATCTCTATTTCTCTCTCTCTCACACACACACTTGAAGAGAAAACCAGTAATTGATTTGGTAAAAAAGTACATTTTAGTATTCCTCACATTACCACTTAAAATATACAAAACAATTAGGTATAAACTTATTTTTATATCAATTAAATAATCATTTTTCATTTTTAAACATCATCATTTCATCAAGATCTCATACAGGTAGTATAATATAAGCAAATGTACTTAAAAAAATAATAAATAGAAATTATTATAATAGAGTACAATACATGTAGTGTGTGGGTGACAAAATCAGTAAAAGTACTCAGCGCCCCTCCCTCCCCACCTGAGAAAACGAGACGTGTAATTAACAGGTATCACGTGAATCACCCTGTGTACTCCTCGCGGCGGCCCGTCTGCCTCGGTGCGAGCCGCTGCGCTGGCCTGGCCTGGCCCGATCATGGCTACGTCATCGTTTGGCGCGTAGGTAAAAGAAGACGTAAAATAAAAAAATAAAACGGCGGCTGCGGCGACGGCGATGGCGACTCCTCGACGGACACGTAAAAAAAAAAAAAAACGCATGACTGTGCGCGCCGCGTCTAATAATATATGATGATTTTTTTTTATTATTATTATTATTATTACTTCTTTTTTTTTATTTCACTACTACTCCAACGGAGAGTCGTTTCATTATAAAACGTGCGGCCGGCCGACGGCATGCGGTCAGTAGTATAGCCCGGGCTGGCACGGCAGCAGCTGTTGTGTAGCGATTATTTTTTTTTTTTTTTATATATATACATACATAATAATAATAATAATAATAATAAAATAATTCGCCAATCGCGATGACATTGCGGATGCCGGCGAATCGCGTGCGTCCCACGTGTACTCGGGCCGCTGGTCGTATGTGCTAATATTATACTGTTGTTTGTGGGGAAAAAAATTATTATTTATAATATAAATTATTTATTCGATTCCAATCAACACACACACACACCTTCGTCCGTCGGTCGCGATAACCTAAATAATAATAATAATGATAATGATAATTGTATAATATAATATTATGTATATACATACTACTTTCGCCGGGTCATCTTGTTAATTATTATTATTACTTTTTTACCGTTTGATAATCGTTTTATTTTTATTTTATTTGTGTGAATTTTTTTTTTTTTTTTAATTATGCGTTCACGCCGGCCGGCCGACCGATAACACCGGTGCGGCGCGCGTACACCGTGAATTTACAACGACGGCCGTCCGCCTATTATGGGCAACGCCGTACGCGACAACGGTCGGTGGTCGCGTTTCGTCGTGGTCAGCAGCAGCAGGACTACGTGCAGTTGTGCCGCCGTGGACGCGCCGCCGCCGCCGCCACGGTCACAAGTCCTCGTGCTAGTCGTCGTCGTCGTCGTCCTGCTGTGCGTCGACTTTGTCACGTGCACCTCAGCCGCCGCGGCCGACGGACAAAGTTTCCCGGAACCGCCGGCGCGCCGGCCGGACCTGGCCGAATTGCGGCACAACATCATCAAAGGACTAAAACTGGACAAACTGCCCGACATGACCAAGGTGAGAATAATAATATATCTATATATTATTTTTATTGGGCCTTTTTTTTTTTTTTTGGAAATCTCATCTTTTGGTTTTCGGTTTTTCCGGTTGTGATTTTTTTTTTTTTTTTGAGGTTATCCTGAATATCATTATATACCGTTCTTTCTAAAACTGCAATTTTATAGTTTCTTTTTGCGAATATTTTTTATTCATGTGGGTTTTACATTTTACAATATTCAAATTTGTAACCTAACCTAACCTAACCTAGATCGTTAGCGACTTTTCAAAATCAAATTGTAACGTAACATTTTTCTCATATTTAATTGAATTTCTAATTTACAATGATCTACCGACACTTTAGACTGATCGATGACCAGTTTTGAGTTGGCAATTATCATTAGAGTTGTATTCAAATTAAACGTCGGAGTGCGGTTGATAAAAAAAACTCCACCCTTCTTCCCGCGGTAAATTTTAAACTTTATTCAAAACTGGTTTTGGACCGGTGAAAATGTCTTTGCCAATTAATTGTTATTTAAAAAAGTCAGTTGAACACTTAAGTACGTTGCCGTTTAATTTCCAAAAGTCGATAATGTTTTACAAGAAAATACCAAAACAATTAATATATTATACAAATTTGAATATTGTCTAATACTGCGATGTAGCATAGGTAAACGGTGTAAGATGTTCAAAAATAATATCAGCTACAAAATATCAATTATTTTTTAGAGGAAACATAATAATTATTATTATTATTACACGTTTACACGGTTTTTTCATTTGTTGGAAATTTTCCTAGTGATAAAAAAACCGCTAAAATCCATTTATATTGCAATAAGCCCGAAATTTGTTTGATTACTTGCATGAATACTAAAACGAAACGACAAAATTAAAAAATATGACGAATAAAACGATAATAAATCTCCTTTGAAAATAGTTTCATAATAATAGTAGTTGATAATATACAAAATTCCCAATTGTCGTTATTAACTGTTAGTACGACCTTTACTTTTGAACAAAAAAAATCTATGATATACAAAAAAATATAAAACTACCTGATACTTTCTAACGTCAAGTGAATATGTTACTTGAATCTTTCAAAAATCTTAAAAAATGCATTACCTATTTTGTTATTAATAAAAACAGTTGTATACACGACCTCCTAAATTTACTTAAGTAATTAAACTTACCTAATGGCGTTAATAACTTTTTTTTATATCTAGGGTCGTCCAATTTTTTAAATTGTTATAAAGAGCACTTTATCTAAAGTCATTCCCTTTTCAGAAAAAAAACATACTTATCTCGGTACAATTACAGTTTTTATTAAATTGAAATTATATCAGTGTTGCTTTCTGCGGTGTATATAATATGCTGTACAATTGATGTGGCGTGTAATGTATTGTGTGCATCATATTTCATCTGGAATTTAATATCCAAATAATTTTTTCAAAATTTAACTTGTAATTTTGAATTAACGAACCGTGCTATGCGCGAAAACGGTCGCAGATTCCGTACGGAATTCCCGCCGTCAACGGTGGTACCCCACTCGTGGCTTGTGGACAGGCGGGTGACGAAAACCCCTCTTGACGGCCGGGAATCCCGCAACGTATAGGTTGCCGTTTTCGCGCACTGCGCTGACCAACAGGGTGATTTTGTGCCACGGGCCACAAATTCCATAATAAAGACTTGAACTGATGTGTATTTTGTTTGTTTTCCTTGGGCGTCCAGGTGGAAATCGGCAACGACGAATTCCACTGCAAGTATTTGGAATATTTCCGCCGGTTGTACATGGACGAAGACGAGTATTCGCCGGCAGCAGGTTATGATAATGACGTATCGGCAATACAAGTGCAGGGCCAGGTGAAACGCGAACCGGCCGCGGGATCAGGTATGTGTATAATAATACAGTCACAACGAGACATTACCTACATACCTATAACATAATTATAATATATAGGCATACAATGTACATTTGCGACGGTCGGTAAAAAGCAAAACGCGCACTTACACTCGTGTAGGTAACGAAAAGAAATTGTGTAATTTATTTATTTAATTTTTGGCTAGATTTCTGATCGCTTTGGGGGTTTAGAAGACCTGAATGGGGTTCAGGCATAAAAATAAATACACTTAATTGTAAAAAAAACAATATTATTTTCTCAGGTCCGCATCGAAGCTCAAATGTATTATAAAAGTTCACAAAAAACTATTTTTTGTGTACCAGTTTACTTGTTAATCCAATTAGGTCTGAATAAAAATGAAATTAAGGGGCGAGTGTAGATATACAGGTGTTAACTGACAATATTTAAAAAACTGTTCAGAACGCAATATTTTATTAAATATATATTCAAATGCATTCAACTGTTTGTTTTAATGTTTTGCTAAATTGTCTTAATATATCCTATCACTTTGATTGATTCAAAATATTTTTAAAACTATTCAAATAAAAAAACTATTCAACAACAAAAAATGTCACTAACACCTTTACATCCACTGACCCCTTCAAATATTGTTTAGATCATATTTATTGGCATAATTCAAGGCTCAACCCTGACTAAACGTGGGTTTTATGCTGTTTCCAGGAAACGACGGCCGAGCCTGGACGACGGAATACGTCACTTTTCCGGTGCATTGGAAGTTGCGGCACACCGAAGACTCGGCCATCATCAGGGCGGTGGTGCGGCTGTACGGCAAACGGGTGCAGCCGCACGGTGCGGCGCCCGTGCGGGTGCATGCGTACGGCCGTTTGTACACGACGGCCGCCGGCAGTCTGGCCGTCACCGAATCGGTGGCGGATATCGCGTGGCCCGCCAGAGGCCGAGACGACGGCCGCTGGCTGGACGTGGACGTGACCGAGATGTTGCGCAGGCCCAGAGACCGGCGCAACGGCACGCTCGAGCTGTCGGTGCGGGCGTCCGACGCGTCCGTCGGTTTCGGCCACCGGACGCCCGTGTTGCACGTGTTCCTTAACGGCGTCGACGTGGACGACGTGGTCGACGGCACGGCAGCGGTGGCGTGCGCCGGCGGCGACGTCAGGAAGCGGAGAAGACGGGACAGCGGCGGTGTCAAGCGGCCGCTACAGACGACTTTCCCGACGGACGGCGGCGGGGCGGGCCGCCGGCGCCGGACCGACTGCAAACCGGCGGCCCCGCCGGTGGACGACAAGACGGCGGCGGCGACAGCGTCCAATCGGAGTAACGCCACCGTGACGGAACACAACAACAAGTGTTGTCGCGAAGAGATGCGAGTGGTGTTCGCCGACATACCCGGATTCGACTTTATCATCGAGCCCAAATGGTTCGACGCGGGCCTGTGCCGCGGCCGGTGTCCGGCCAAGTACAATCCGGCCACGAGGCACGCGTTCATCCAGAGCCTGCTGTGGAAGCAGCACGCGCCCAGACGGCAACAGCAGGAAACGGAACAGGCCCAGCGGTACGGGCGGCACAGGATGCGGCACGGCGGCAAACGGGATGGCGGCGATTCGGCGGCCGCGCAACCGCCGCCGCCGCCCAAGCCGTGTTGCGCGCCCAGCAAGCTCGACCGGTTGCAGATCGTGCACATCGACGAGCTGAACCCGACCAACTTGAAAGTGACCACCTGGAAAGAAATGGCTGTCGTCGAATGCGCTTGCTCGTAGCACCGCGGAAAAGCTCGAAGCAGAGCCGAAAACCCCGACGGGTTCGACCCGTTTTGCGAAGCTACTAAATGCACCCCGCGCGGCCTTGCGCGGCACATACGCGGAGTATACGCGCCCGAACACGGCGCACGGCCGTCGGCGGTCTTCGACGCGACCGGCCGTGGCGGCGTTGATGATACTATATGAGACCGATTCCGGTGCACACACTTTTCCTATTGCGATCTGCGATCTACGTCCGTGGTCGGTTTGTGGCACGATGACGACGACGACGATACCACGCAAAAAAAAAACTGTGGACGAAAATTCCAAAGCTTGACCACACGCGCTTTTGTTGTTATTCCTTAGGGCTTTTTTTTTTTGTTGTTTTTTTATCTTAACGTTTTCCGAGCCAATACATTGTGTTCACGTCCTCGGCGTCCAAATTATATTTAATTTTTGTATCATTTTATAATTTATTTATTTTTCTTTCTCCTCTTCCTTCTCATTCTGGCTTCTCTTCGTCTTCTTTCTCGATCATCCATCTGTCGAATAATCGATTAAAAACCAGACAAAAATCATCGATAATTTGTTCAAAAATCGATTTTTATATTTTAAATATTGTATTATTATCACTATTTATTAATTTTTCTCTCAATTAGAGTTACAAAAATGTTTTTATTTTTTGATTTTTGTATTGCATATTTTATTTTTGCCGTTTTCGTTTTTATCAATGGACAAGACAACAGACTACTTATATTAAACTATCTTTTTTTCGTTTTTTTTTTTTTTTTTATATAAGCCATATTGTAACTGTGATATTTTTTGTTTGTTTGTTTTGTAATATAAAACTGTCACTATTGTACAATAAATTATACTTTTTGTTTACTAAATATTTAAGATTTATCAATCAAAGCCATTTGCGTTGGTTCGGGAAACAATATACTATGGGGTTTGCAAGGAAAGTCGAGTACACCTAGTACCTACAATGAAATGTGTTTGACAACGGCTGGTGTGTTGTATTGCAAAAAAAGGGAGGGTGGGTTTACCTATCCCTTTGCTGATGTATCCGCCTTATGATCAAGGTTAGGTTAGGTTTCGACGACAACAGCTGTTTCGACAGGCACTTGATAGGTTTAAGTGTAAAACCACTTTACAGCAATTCGTCTATGATTTCTACTGTATTTTGATTTTGTAAAACATATCATTTCCCATCTTTTCCACAGGAATTAACAACTTGAGCAATATAAATAATGTTTTCCCGCAGTTTTCGAACAAACCTTTGTCGTTGGTTAGGTTTGGTTAGGTTAGGTTTGGTGAGGTTTGGTTAGATTAGGTTAGGTTAGGTTGGGGGGGGAAGTAATGCCTCAACAGGCAAGTACCTCCCCAGTTTTCTATGGATGCATGTGATATAAAAAAAAAAAAAAAAGGTTAGGTTAGGTTTTCCCCTACAATTTGAAGAGGATCACATTATCCGAGACCCTGGCGGCACAGACAACGAATTATTGTGATTCCACAGTCCTGAGCCTAAACATCCGATTAGGATAATTGGTAGGATCCTGTTGGGTCACGATTGGCCGCCAAAAAAAAAAAACAGTGCAAAGAAACAATGCAATTATTCGAGCAGCGATAAAAAGTGTTGGGACAAAACATCAAAATATGATAATAATATTTAAAACGAACGGTAGGTACTCATTGGGAAAATATGCGCGGTACCGGCACGCGATGACGTGGGCTAATTATAGCCCCCTGGGCGCATAAATGCTATTTCCGTGGCGATTTGTAACCGATTATGTTGTTTGTGTATAATAATAATCTATTATGTATTATTTTAAACGTTAACGATATTAAACGAATAACATTATTATCGTTGTTGTGTGTGTGTGTGTACATAATTTTTAATAGTAATAAAGCGTGTAAAAATAATGGTCTAATGGTGGTAAATTTAGATTACTGACAACGGCGCCGCGGTTTTAGCAGGTTAGGTAGGTGGTCGACGATTGAGAGCCTCTGCGGTTTAACGCGGTCATAAACAAATATTATTATCACATCATCATTGGGACCGCATATGATACAATAATAATATTATTATCATGTGTGTGTGTGTGTGTGTGCTGTGTGTTTGTATAATATTATATTGTACGGATATATTTATAAACGGCGGAATGTCTAAAAATATTCCAAGGAAACGACACTGCGTGGGCGACCGACGGAATTACACTCTGGGCCGGCACTGTTTATTATGTAAATTATGATATATGTATTTATATTGTTATCGGCAAATGTTTTAAAATTAAAAGAAAACCCGTTTAAATGCACATCGTGTGTACTTTGACTTTGACTTTTGAGCCTCTCATGCGCTTGCCGTATGCGCGGGTATTTTTTGTTTTTAACATTTTATAATATAAAAAATATCAATAACAATTTAATACAATATATTGATAAGCGTTATCAGCTGCGCCATTAGAATTTACAAGACATGATATTATTTCGGCCATTTTTCAATATTAAGTAATCAATATTCAAATGAAACCCTAAAAAAGCGACTTGAAAACTTCTGACGTTTTACCTACATCACAACCCCAACGACTAAAAAAATTGTCAGAACTTAGATTTTTTTTTTGCACTTTTATTTTTAGCATCAGCTGGTATTTACAATTATTATTCATAGTTTTCAAATAGTCTAGGGTCAAAACCAATCCCTTATATGCTTGTATCAAAAAAAAAAATAAACATGCGGCGGCCATATTATTGTACAAACTTGTGTAGTATTTTTATTTTAAAAAATGATAATAAAAAAAAATGCATTGATTATTGGTAAATAGATAGATCCGCCACCATCCGAGTTACAGATTATAAGTCCAGAATACAAAGAGTAACAAAATTGTAAAGATATTTTCAACTAATAAACAAAGACAGACATTTTTTTAATTAAAAATATATTATTGCACAAACTTGTGGCTAAATCATATCCAAATTTAAAAGGGAGCAATGACGTTTTTAGCCGTTCAACAAGCGTCCGCGTTTAAAACAATGCTTTAAAACACAAAATACAAAGTGAAAATATAATATCATTACCTTTCCAACATTGGCCCCAACATAGCTGGTAATATATTATGTATGTTAATCGGTTAACAACCGCGGGCATAGACTATTCGACCGCTTATTATCTAATATTATATTGTAATGGAAGCGATAAAAAAAAAATGTAAAAAAAAACCTATATAATATTATATTATATCCATTACAATAATACCTGTGTCATCGATAAAAATTAAAAAAAAAAAAAAATTTCACGCCAAGAACGTGCCACGCATTGTGCATAATATATATTATTCTAATTTCTGCCTAATAGTATTGTTATTGGTACAAGTAGAATACTACTCATAGTATTAATAATTCTAACCTTTGAGGAACAACACGCCTAGAGATTTTATAGAATTAAAAAAAAAATGTAGTTATCTATACATTTTATAATAATAATATATATAGTTTAATAGTATGTTGTTAGCTATTTTTTTTTAAACTGCTATACCAAACGGGGGGCTTTTTTAATTATTGTTTTTCTCAATGAAAAAGGTCAGATAAACTAAAAAAAAAATATATATTCCACTATATTATTATTATATAACATGAAGAAAAAAAAACGGATTCAGACCGGCATTTTAACTAGTTAGGCATCAAGTTGAACTACAGCAAACGAATATCGACTTTTGACCCGTTGTACTATTTATCTGCAACGTTTTAATTCATCTTGTACAATAAATACATACATACATGCATGCATATTATATATATATATATTATACTTTCCGATCAAGGTAAGTAGTGTAATATTATAATATATGGTTTTGCATGGTTTTTTTTTTTGTTATCAATGCGGTTTTATGGTATTAAAATATTTTATTATTATGTATTATTAGGTAGTACGTTAATTCCGACTTCCCACGGTCTGATTTTTCATAATTATAATAATTATTATAATACCTATCCAATTTGTTCAAGGTTTGGCCGAGTCAAAAGTCAAACCGGCTTCTTTTTATTTAAATAGGCTACAAAAAAATAAATTGAGCTACTAAAATAATTTAATATATTTTAAACAGCTTCCGCCGTACAATATAATAACATGTATTGTCCAAAAATGTTTTGTGTATACTTACCTACACTTGTCTGTTGCTAATTGCTATCATTGTGCATGTTTGGTGGTGTCTGGTCGAATTCCCTCCAAAATGTATTTTTATTCGCTTTCGGCATAGAAAATATATAAATAATTATTATTGAAACCATAAAATAAAAATTACACTGCCTATATAATACAAGGCGGCTACGGTGCTGTGCACGTTCGTTGCTAATAATAAAAAATGCATGTTTGTTAAAAAAAAAATACATATACTTTATTGGCAAAGGTCGAGATAATTGCATGGCATTGACCGTCGTACTTGTTGCAAAATAATAACTATAGGAATGTGGTGTTAGCTTGACCGACAAAAAAAGACAAAAAGTGAAATCCAAAAAAAGGGTATCCTAATTTTGGTTTAACTTTTAAACTTAGAACTTACTCGCTATTAGGTGTGTGTGCTTAAAATAATTTATTTAGCTGTAAGTTCACTTACATTACTTTGAAATATATTAAATAAATTGTGTTACTTATTGTTAGACGCTATATTCGTTGTGTATAGTTTATTAAAGTCGCTTCATAAGCAAATAAATTAATTATGTTAATCGCCAACTTAATAAAAGACTTGAAGTTATTAAAAAAAAAAAAAAACACTGAGCTCGTTTAAACCGACAAATAATCTATGAATTGAGAAAGAATAAAATAACAATCAAAGAAAAAAAACAATAATTACTGGGTAGTAGTTAATTACTTATGTATGTGTATATACAACTGTTATTGTATTATAAGTAAGTTATACAAGTTTTTGTTTTTTCGTACGCTCTACATGCGGCATTAGGTTAAAATTATTGGGTAATAGATATATTTAGATGGTATACTATAGTAATAGAATATTACTTTTAAGTGACCAAAGATAGCAAATGGGTCCGTCTAAACAACGGCTCGGATGAGTTACTTTATGAGCTGTTAACGGTAGATTTTTAGACCAATCCATCATACTGCTAAAATAGAGCTGACAATATTATTATCTATTAGGTAACATGAAAGTATTGTGTATTTTTTAAAAAAGGTACTTAAAATTTGTGTGTTTTGTACGTTTGAATAATTTTCAAAATGGGTTTTTCCATTCAAAATTCCTAGCTGAATTCCAAAACTGATTTCGGTGTTTTTTTTAAACAATTTATTGAAAATTTAATTTTGTTTTTGAAGGCAACACTCTACTTTTCAGACAATCTGGAAAAAAATCTAAATCCAAACAATTTCTACTAAATGTAACCTAATGGTTATTGTAACAAATAAAATTCAAAACTTTGTTGCACAATTTCAATCACTCAAGTAAATAAACAATTTAATATCTTCTAAAACAAGAGAGTAATATAAAAATACTTACTAACGACAATAGACGAGCTTTACAATTAATGAATGTCAATACCTAAAAATTACATTCTTCTTCGCCTTATCATAATATTCATATACAAAAAACTGGGCAGTTTGAGACTTTATTCTGAACAGTCCTAATAACCTAAATATTCAGATTTAACTGTTTTTTTTTTTAGTGGGAGATTTATCGATTATTGCCAATTCAAACTTGCTGGGTTCTGAGTATATTCTACAACCCTTTAAGCA